CGACCAAACACTGCTGCCTGCGTTCGTGTGAACAAGATGGCTGCCACCTCGTGGTCTTCCATAGGAAATGCTGCCACCCAGACGAACACTTAGAACACTGTGGTGGAAATTGCTACAAAGTAGCAATTAGGCTTAACAAGCTCCAGGGTGGTCTCCGGTTTATGCAGCTGTTCGGTTCCCGAATCAAATATAAAATTCCACTAACCAAGTCTGTTCACATAGTTTTTTTAAAGGACCCATAGTCTATTGGCCAGCAGGCCCCCCCAAGTTCAGTTCTTCACACTTTTCAATTTCAAATACCTCTATTTCAATGAAACACTTATATTCTTAAACCAGTGAGTGTTTTTGAAAATATCTTATTAAAGAAAACACAATACCTTGCATTCTGAATTTGTAACTTACTGTTATCTGCAGTACTTTTATTAAAGGCCTAAATTGCAATCTGGTTTTGTGCCCGATCCATAACATTCTCATAACATAAGAAAACTTTATAACGTTAAGTTGGGGCCTAAACCATGATTTTATTATTAATGTTGCTGTCTCGACAAGCTGATAACTCAATGTTAACTGTTTCTTCACATTGCCATTTCAGCTGTTGTGCACATGTGCAGTTGTTATGCTGCTAGTTATATTTGTTGACATATTTTCCTTTAATTGGTCTAATTATACTTACCAACTGTCATGGTTATGTCGGAACAGTCCCATGTTTTGGGCTCCTGTCCCGGCACAAATGGGGGCAAGGCAGGGGGAGCGATAATGCCAGGAATACAGCTTTGTATTCCTTGCATTATAGTATGTCTTTAATTCACCTAATCATACATTTATTAACGAGAAATTAGAAAGTATTGTAGCAGATTACGCTTCTTTAACTGGTGTCATTATATTTATTGAGACCAAAAAAGACTGTATGATATGACCAGTAGTTTGTTACCTTGAGCTCAAAATGGTTCTCTATTAGCAGCACCACTTTAATAAGCATTAAATGTCTAGATGGGACAAATATGCTGCTTAAACTGAAAGTAAATTGTTACTTACTGTAGAAAATTCTGTCCGTATGCAGGTTTCTATCTGTTCAAGAAACATTCAGTATTGGAATTACATGAAGGCATACTATTTTTATTGAATTATAGTGTCCTTTAAATTTTTTAGATTTAGTCCACTAAAACTAGACAAAAAATAAAACAATTCAGAAATTGAGACAGATAAAGGCTTTAACTAAACTTATTAAATTTTAGTTGTGTCGACTAAAATCTCCAGTAGATTTAGTTGACTAGAGCTAGATTAAAACGAAAAGAATTCAGATCACTAAAATACGACTAAAACTAAAATGGCTTTTTAGTCAAAAGACTATGACTAAAACTAAATTTGAATTTGCTGCCAAAATTAACACTGGTGGAAAATTGAAATTTCAATTTTAGTTACTTTTTGAATGTATATCAAGTTAATAATCTTTAAATCAAATTTAATTACATGTCCCTTTCGGTGGGTATTCATCTCAGGACCTAACAAGGAACTTGGCAAGATTTCTCTTGTTATAAGATGTGATTCACCAATTTATACGTAGACAATAAAAACATGGAAATGATTGCTTATTTTCATTTTTAATTTACTAGAGGTTAACTAATGCTCAAAATCAATTCTACTATAATTTTGTATACTTGATATGAGTATTGGTCAACAAATATCTTCACAAAATAAACACTTTTCAATGATTGCTTTAATGAATGCTAAACTGGTGGTGGCTATTTGTTCATTTCCCATGTTAACATAGAAAATTAAGCTGTGCGCACAAACTCCCGCTACTCCTGGGAGGCAGCAATAAGTATAGCACTTATCAGTATATTAACTGCACTATATGTCGGACCATGCAGCCTTTAGTTTAAAAGTGACTAGGAATATATTAGAGCGCTCATTCATGCAACGACCCATACCGTACCACACGTTTAAGCAGATATATGAGCCTATATACAATGATACAGTTTTTTTTTCTTCTTTTATTAGTTTTCTTTATATCTCCAAACAAGGCATATTAGTGTTCAAGCCCACAAAGCGCTGCTATAAGATACATAACCATGAAGCTTAACACCCACGTGAAGCTAGCTTACTATGTTACATTAGTTCATTATGTGCAGTCTGTGTTGTAATACATGCAAAAAGTTTATGTACGTTCATATGTTCTGATCAATTCGCCTCTGCGCAGGTGATAATCTACATTTACCCTTATAAACCGATACTTAAGCCTCTGCGTAGGCGACTGTTCGCTTTAATGAAAATCTGTCTGACGTGAGAACTCAAGACACGATACCAATAAACATATTTAAAACAAAAAAATAGTGTTTGATGATTATTCTCATCAGAACAAATACAATAAGCTGTAGTTTTTCTGTTGATTACAGTGTCCCTTTAAATGTGTATAGGGTTTTGGGATACTAACTTTTTTCTTTAGTTTTTATTTTGTGGATCTCTAACTAAGGTGTGATTCAAAGTAGGGGGGAAAAATTAACTTTGTTCAAGCTGCACATTTTGTATATTTTTGGCAAGCAAACCATTTAGATCAGGTGTTTTGATCATCGTTCCCCCAGTAGTTGTTGGACTATATCTCCCATGATTCTCTGCCAGAAATGTGTTTGACAATAGTTATGAGAGTTGCACCCAAGAACATTTAGAGGACTTCAGTTTAACACCCCTGGTTTAGATTTAAAAAAAAAAATCCATTAAAAATAACCTTTAATCAATTACGGTTTGCTCTATTTATCCTTTTTTTCAACCCAAGTTCCGAATAGATCTTTTGAGGGGGTTTGAATAGCACTGGACCTGCCAGAAAATACATACATTCTTTTGTATTTCATTAGTGAATAGCGTGCCGTCCTCATTAAAATCCCGGACAACACTACTACATTGTGTCTCAGTCTGTATCTTTCTATGTTTCAACTTCACTTTCCAGCTTTATATTTTTAAATAAAAAATACATCTTAATTTGTAACCTTGTAAATTAAATGACTTTTACAGCAGCACCTGACGTGTATACTCTTGCAGCTGTTCCAGTTTTGGAATACTTGGCACTAAACGTTTTTATTGGTATTTTTGTTGTTTAGCCATTTGTTACATAAACTCCTTTTTACAATTCATTCCTGGTTCACAGCCAAAGTTACATAGCTTCTTACCATATGGGAGCAGTATACCTTTTGGCAGGGGGACTATTTATAACAGGTTCAGGAAGCAGTGATATATTCCAGTAAAGACAATTACTTATCACTTAGTAGTATTCTTATTGTATTATATTCTTCACAGGGACACTATAGTCACCAAAACAACCAAAGCAGTTTTGGTATAGAGATCAGGCCCTGCAGTATCACTGCTTATCCTTTTAGAAGTTAGATCACTTTGTTTCAATATAGCTTGGTGCTACTTCTAAGTGCTGTTTCTAAGTGTGTAGTTGGGGATATTCTGGAGAGTTTTACAGAAGCTTCAACTGTCTAAGAGTTGTGCTAAGAGCTTTCTTTTCTACTGTTACAGGTAAGATTCATCTGTAGGAAAAGGTTACTGATTGCACAAGGTTTGAATTTCTGTTGGTAATTATAAGGCATTTGATTAGATTACTTGCTATTGATTGCTGTTTAAATAAGCTATTGTTTGCAAATAAGCAGAAGCCTACCTAGGTGTTAAACATTCCTAGTGGGTGGTGATTTTAGGAGTTATTTAAGGGCTGTTGCCATTAGCTTGGCTAATATAGCTTGGCTGCTACTTCTAAGTGCTGTTTCTAAGTGTGTAGTTGGAGATATTCTGGAGAGAAACTGGAGGTAATCTGAGGTATTCAGGAGGATAAATACAAAGTTAAGATTTGTTTGATTTAAATTATTCTCCTCATTGGAATGGCAGACTTAGTTCAGTGTAACAATTGCTATGCATTTGTTTCACGTTCCACTTTTTGGAGGTTTGGTTGTTGTCTAATCTGTAGACAGTTCTCTATCTTGCGGCAGGAGATTGTATTTTTGAAGTCTGAGATTTGTAAATTATCTGGTGAAGAAACTCAGACTGGAACTGCTGCAGAGCCACTGCCGCAGAGACATGCTAGGAAAGGCAGATGGATTACTGTAGGATCTGGTAGACTTAGAGCTGTGGATAAAAGGCATTTTGCACAGTCTCTTGCTCTTCATAATTCATTTTCTGCACTTTCAGAGTGTAATGGTGTTGTGGAGAGAGGCAC